GTGCGGAGAATTGCGCGTTTATTTACCCACGTGCACGTGTATACGTATGCGCGCACGTTGGAGAGTAATTTTGTTCTCTTGAGAAATGCACACGGAAACTTACAGAACTGAGAACATTTAAGAAGACTTTGTGTCTGCAATAAAATTATTTTTAGTTCCAGTTATTTATCGTCGGCTCGAAAGCAGAGTTTTTTTTGCGTAATTCTCAACTGATAAAATTTTGATGGAGAACATGATTAGGCGACTGAAGTATCGGTCTGATCTCGCATTAAATGTAGTCTATTAAAACATCGAAATGTATGACAGAAATGAGCTTATGCGCAGTTCAACCGAGTTGTTTTATAAAGAACTCGACGTTTGGCCTTTAGCGGAAGCATACAATGCTGCAGCGACTGCTTCGCGAGTTCATTGCACCCTTTTGCGACATTTTATAATTACGACCGCCGTCGCCGTTACGTTCTGCGAACACCGTGCAAAAATGCGCGATATCATTGGGGAACATTCGACACACCGCGCTGAACGGAGTTGCCCAATAAGTTCCGCAGACACGACAATTTTTGCTAACGCGCTTGACCCGTGCAACTTTAAAAGATTGTACATTTGGACGGAATCTCAATTGGTTTAGAATAAATTTTTGTAATCATCCAGTTTAAAAGTAATTATGATGTAATTATCTGAACTATAGTACACGAAGAGAATTTTCTCTTGGAGTTTACTCTGAAAATTATGGATAGCTGTGGAACAACATGGCGTCTCAAAGAATTTCATGAGTTATTTGAAATTTTACTGAAGTGTATAGTAAAATTTCAAAAACTCATAAAATTCTTCAAAATGCCAGGTTGTCCCTCGACTACCATAATTTTCAAGGTAAATTCTAAAAGAAAATTCCGTGTAGATATTAAAATATTTATACATATGTTCTTTATATTGCCTCTGCATATTACACACATACATTTGAAATGTTGGTGTCGTCTGAACGTAGTGATCTTTAAAAAATTATGAATATTTAATTGTGATAGGTTTATCAAAAGTCTCTTCGGATTTCTTTCAGAGACAAACGTGATTGCGAGCTATCGATAAAGCAAGACAGTTCGATTTTAGTGCAAAAATCTCTTCGTCAAAAACAAATAATAATAGGACTAAAAACGCGTCTATGATGATAGATCGAGTGAGTCGCTTCGTGTTTGTCATGCGCCAGAATTATACAGTTACAAAGTTACGACATTCTAACTGTCTCACTTGAGATTTCGGGTATTTACAAGCGACAGGGTCACGTACGCGGGACCTACACCTTGACATTCGACCGGCGAACAGAGGAAATCGTGTCAAACGTACGGCGTTCGTGACTTCCTCGACCTAAATGCGGCTGAAAACGCGACCGAAAACGTCGGAAACTAGTTGACGGATTAAGTTGCTACGAGATAGAGAGGAGTTTGTTGATTTCGTGGAGACCTAAAAAAAAACCGGAAATCTCTAATCTGAAATCTTCCAGAATATCCGGCGTCAAAAAGAAGCGTGTATTGTACGGTTGTACGAATGTGTATCCTTTCACTTAGAAGACCACACACACGCCTATTACCCAGTGAAATTTTTATGAACGAGTAACCAAGATGAAAAATACCTGGTCGCGGAATATTTGGCCAAAAGTGAAAGTCAATTTAGTTCGATTTTATCGTGCGATATTTGTAGGTAACTAACCTTTTTCAGTTTTCGGACCGATCGCGGATCGTAAATAAGAAACGAGAATAACGAAGGTGAAAAATATCGTACTGCAAGATCGTCGATCTCACGATTTTATTGGAAGCGCGATTCTGTATTCCTCGTCCTTTGCAAAGATGTGTGCATCGCATATGCATGCGTAACAAGCTGCTGTCTACAGTGGAATTCACTTTTACTCAGGCGTGAAAACGAACATGCGGCAGGATTCCGCGCGGTGGGCCAGAAAGGAGTTGCTTATGATCAATTTCGACGATGCGACATTATTATTGCTTACTTACGATTCTACATTCTTGCCAAAAAATAATCTCCGATTAAGAAGACTTGCGACAAAAGACGCGCAAATATTTCTTGGAGAAGCGAACTAAGTTTCAATTAGATTCCCAAAAGTTTTCTATCCGAGGAACAATTGCACGTTTGTTAGTGCATATATTTCCGAGTTTAATTTCGTTTCTAGCTTAAAATCGTTTTCGCGCAGCTCAGCCGGTTTCCGCAGCGAGTTTGTAAAAATCCAAAGGGATTATGCGACGCCATTTATCACGCCTATTGCATATTATACATCTTCTGCGTTGCACCTTTCACGTAACTCAGGGGCGGACATTAAGCGACCTACCGAAGTATTCAGCCCGCTAATTAATTACGTGAGTGGCAACGCGCCGTTCGTTAATTACTGCGCGTCCGACCGTTTTCCATCGCCACAACGGAATAACGTCACGACACAGGCATAAAGTTTCGGAAAGATACGAGCGTAACGAAGTGGTAATGCCACCGTGAGGCGGCTACGGAGCGCGTTATGCTTCGGCACACACCACTGGCCGCGCACTCTTTTTCTCGGACGAGTGTAACGCGAAAAAAAAAGAGATCGTGCAAAATCGTGACATCGTTCTCTTATCCTCTTATCCGTTTTCGTTGATAAAACATTATAATTTCATCGAGAAAACGGCCGCGCTCGATAAACCGGGAGAAACGGCTCGAAAAATTATAGCGTGACTCGCGCAGGGGCTGAAGTGGCGATATTGAAATCTTATCAAACCAAAGGAACAAAAGAACTTAGATTTATCGAAGATTCCTTCAAACGACACATGCAAACGATGCATTACTTTAAAATACTCAACTCATGAATATTGTTTAAATAAATTGCTCGTATTTCCCTTCTTTTTGAATATCTACCTATCTAAAAAGTTTTTGAATCCGCCGCACATCTTTGTTCTTAAAAAACAAAGTGCTGCCGCACATTGGCGATAAATTGTCTGGCTGTTGAAAATTCTGACTTAACTGTTATGTCTACTCTGGGGGAGGGAGGGGGGGAAAGACCGTTAGCAACCCATTTTAGGGCCCATAATTAGTAATCGAACTAATTGGAATATTCGTAACTCTACTCTCGAAAAATTTTGACCGTTTTTTTGTAGTTAAGTAACTTAACATTTCGGTTAGTGCCTCTTAAGTAAAAATTATCTTTGCGTTACTGAATATCGACCGAACTAATTGAGAGATTTGATTAGTATTACTTTAAAGTCTTGAATGTAGAATGATAGAATAGCTAATTGCGATTTTTAGTTACGCGGGGTAAAATTCGTAAAAGATTAGAGTTACGAACAATCCAAATAATTCGATTACTACTTGTGGGCCCCAAAATAGGTTGCTGTCTTTTTTTCCCAGAGTACCAAAAACCACTAAATCTGTCAAATGAAATGGGGTAATTTCTGTTGTCTTTTCTCTTTCCCGATACAACAAAAATCTTCGTCAAATTGTTGTATTAAATGTTCTCTTTATGTTTCGGTGTACATTTTGCGTATACGAGAGAAAAGTCATTTCTGACGTTGCCCAAATGCCGTAAGCAGACTTTCAAGTCTGCCGTACACTTCGACACAGTCTTTAAAGAACAAAGTGCTGTCGCATTGCTGACAAACTCTGCCTTTTCTTTCTCTTGATACACCGAGAATCCTTCGTCAGTGGTTCTAAAGGACCAATGTCCTAAGAGGAAATATACTTCCGAACCGACAATAAATTTAAATTAGTTTTATTGCAAATTTTCTTTATAAATTTTCTTTTTATACTCGGCATACATTTTGTGTATACGAGTGAAAAATCGTTTACAATGCGGCACTTTTAAGTCTGTTGCGAATTTCGGCACACTTCGTTCCTAAAGAACAATGGCTGGTAAAAATTTTTACTTATCTATAATGCGTACCAAGAACCACTAAATCTATCAGATCTTGACATGCAGCAATTGCTTTCTTTAACGACCAAGTAAGGTAGACCAACGGGGCTACCTGGATTACACAATGATCATCCTTTTCACTGACCTTAACGGCGTTTGCTGAAGCGCCTTGACAACGATGACCCGTATTATAGTCGTGCGTGTATCCACATAGGTAAAATTTTGAAATAGTGCTGCCGTTTCGAAATGGTCAAAGAGACCGTGCGGGTTCCAGTTCTTCCGTGTCTCTTTCTTTAGCCGCAACGTTACAACCGGCCTAACTGGACGATTCCGTTGGAAACTGGGGGAACTTCTCTTCACTTTTACCGTGGCGGACGGAAAAGTGCGAACTACGCGCGCACCGTTTTTCATGCGTGCTTACGTAGCCGGGAGCCGCAAAAACTCGGACTCGCGATCTCGCATCCACGCACGCGTTTTACGGTATTTGGATCATTTCACCAGTTTGTCTTGCCGGCAAACAGGGAGAATAAGCGCAGGAACAATTTCGGTCCCCAAAGCGCCAACATCGAACTACTCATTTTCTAATAATCCCGTAAATTTTACAAAACGAGAGGAGACAGTACATTTAACATGTAATTTAAAATGCGACAATATCTCCTCTTCAATCTATATTTTGTACGGCGTTAAAAAATCTCTCGCGCAAATATCTTTGCAAACTTGCGAGTAAAAATATTAGAAATGTAGGCTTTTTTTTAAAAAAAAACATTAAAGCGTTTTCATAAGCGTTCGCCTTGATAAAAAAAATCCGGTACAAGTTCAAACTTAGTCTCGCATAAAGAGATCGCGTTCGAATTTTGTGTCGCATTTATTTAGAGCTTTCCCAAAAATCCGTTCCAGAGGTGGACGATACAACGCTCCGCGACTCTGATTTCTGCGACTTCTTTCGTTGTTTTGCTTTCTCTTTCAGAACTGGCATGCTCTAGTTCGTCCGGAGCGGTCCGTCCATCAATCGGCGGCTATACCTTTTGCCGTCGATTTTAGATTTTGCCGTTGATTTTCCTCGATTTAATCGAGCAACGCCGTAAAATCGGAAGGGAGGGACAAGCGAAGGGACAAAGTTCACTTTATTTCGCGAACGCGAAGATCTCTATATTTCGCCGCAGCAAATATCAATCGGTATATCAATATGTTTTCCAAACATATATCTTATATGTATACACATATAAAAAATAGACGTATAATTATGTAATGAATTTAACGAGGAGTGTATTTTGTGCTAAAGACGGTCCCTACAAAGCGCAACGTATTGTTCGCTCTGCGACAGTGATAAGCGATCAAAATGCAGATTATTCTCCTTTGCGAGTCTTGTCAAAAGGATGTAAACGAAACCTAAGCCTCTCGAAGCTTAATATATAAAGCCAACGGTACACGATACTATTTTTCCTACCGAACTGCTTGCGAGAACCAATAAAGAATCCTGATTGGTTCGCGTAAGCAGTCCAGTAAGAAAAATAGTACCGTGTGCCGTTGACTTAAAAATATACGATTACTCGGCCTAACTCGCGTACTTCTGGTAACGTAACGTTAGCGTGTTACAAGTATTGTCCGAATTACCCGGAGAAAAAGAGGTTCCTACGAGTAGTACTTCTTGATTTCTTTAAGCAAGAGCGACTCCGTCGTTTCGTTTATCTTAGCGTAATACAAGTATTGTCCGAATTACCCGGAGAGAAAGAGGTTCCTACGAGTAGTATTTCTTGATTTCTTTAAGCAAGAGCGGCTCCGTCGTTTCGTTTATCTCCACGAATCTCTTATTGGCTCGGCTAAAGTAATAAATGTCGCCGGTGTAAATGTCGAACCACAGCGCGTGGATGTGCAGGTCGTGTCTCTCCAGGCGCTTCTTCAGGAATCCGTACGACGCGATGTTCTGGAGCTGCTGCAACGTGTTGATCTGCAAGACAAGTTCGCCGAGTGTCACGAGACAAACGACCCCCGGCTATCTCTCGTGTACTCGGTGACGTTACAACATGCTTAAATGCCCCTACCCTGGGACTCGTTCGCGCGCCTCTCCAAACTTTGCACCCTACGCTGGAGCGTCCTTGCACACCGCCTAGTCACGGTGATGTTACAACATGCTTAGGCACGGTTTCGCCACACGTCGCTTAACTTTAATCTCAGTTTAATTCACGTATGTCTCTTTCTAAAGTAACAGTTGAAAAGAGGCAAAGAACGAATTAAGCAAAGCTTAAAGTTCAACAACGTTGGTGAAACTGGACCTTAGGCGCCCCTCGCACGCCTCTCCAAATTTTGCACCCTACGCTGGAGCGTACATTGCATACCGCCTAGTAACGGCACCGCGTGTACTCACTTGCGACAGTTTGTCCTCGATGGCAAACTTGTCCTCCGGATCGATGTAGGCGACGAATTTTCGCAGCGGCGTCTCGGCCTGGAAGAGGATCGGCTCGCGGAAACCGGCGACCTCGAGATGCTGAAACTTCGTCAGGCTGCTGCTGGCGTGCGCGCACAGCCACGCTCTCAGCGGCGACATTCTTCTGTTCGTCTAAAATTTGGATGGCGTTATCGCGCGCACTTGCGAGACGCGAGAAGAAAAAGGGAGAAGAGAAAGGGGTGGGTTCGCGCTCTGGGCGAGAAATCGGGAAATGCAGGAGCGCGCGAAAGAAACGCACTTGTGACGCGAACTCCTCGTCTCGTAGAGCGTAGAGCAGGTTCATCGCCTTGCAATCGCTGTGGCCGCAAACAATAACGTGCCTTATGTCGTTCACCACGCATCCGAGCTCCAACGCCGCCGACTCGCACATAGTAAATTCGTCCAGGAAGTGCTGCGAGTGCGGCACGACGTTACCGGGGTTTCGGACTGGAAAGGTAAACTCTATTAGGCCGACACACGTTACTCTGACTCTCGCTCGTTCCTTCCTTCGTGAAAGAATCGAAAAATCCAGAAACGTGTACCCAGCGAATTGGATATCCCGAAAATCCTCGCAAATATTATGCTAAGAACAGTATTTTATGGATTAGAATCATGTTATATACATGTATAAAGGAGATGCACACAAAATATAACATGTATAAATAAAAAACGAAAAGTTTGTTTCAGAAAAGAATAGAGAAAAGAATTTGGATAAGTTAGTTCTCGCGATTGCCCTGATTAAAAAAATTTTTTGGATAAATAAGAATACGTTATCTATACAGTTAAGATTATCGCAGCGAATGAATGTTGTACGCTATCTCGTCAGAGGATCTCTGATGTTGTAAGAAGCGTATTAGAAAAAAAGAAAGTACACTGCGGTGGGATTAAAAAAAAATTAAAGAAGCTGCCGGGGGATTATGGCGCGTGCGATCGCGATAATGCTACTATAATAGATCGTACCGACAAACATGTCTCCGACGTTCGTTTCCGTAAATCTAGTTGGGATCATCCGGGAGTCCATGCAGGTAAAGAACACTGCCTTTGGCTGTGATAGGAGCAACAACAGACATCGAATTACAAACTGTGCAAAGACTATAATATACGACGTGGGACAAAGATCTTTAGAAATTTCTTTTTAGACTGCAAAGATATTTTAAATGGATGAAATACAAAGGCATCTCTTCCTCAGATCATAAAATGTTCTTATTTTCAAGGACAGTAGGGAATCTAAAAGACATCTTACACAGTTGGAAAATTTGTGTTTTCTTGCTAAAAATGATGCCGGTTAAAATTTTTGTGTTAAACGTTTAACACATTCGTGTGTTAATTTAACATATTGCTCTTGTGTTAATTGACCTCAAATGTAAAATTATTAAAATAACTGAAAAGAAATGTTAAAACACAACACAATGTGTACTTATTTTTAAACTGACACAATACATATATTCGATATTATTAGTAACAAAATTTCTGAGATTTGCATTTATTTTGTATTAAAATATTAACAGAGTATAAGTGTGATCATTTAACATATCCATATTATATGTTAAATTAACACAAAAATGTGTGTGGACCGTTTGGGACATGTGATGTCTGTTAAATTTAACACAAATTTTTCAATTGTATACATATGCGTCCACAAGTCGTAAAGTCGTAAATCGTGAAGTCGTAAATCGTAGAGTCGTAGAGTCGCATCGGTAGTGCCCTGAACATCAATACGACTCTACGACAATATCCTTGTTCCTAGTAGCACAGTGCATTGGCTAAACACTGGCTAAACATTGATCCAATGTTGGTTATATTAAAAATGCATTGGCCGATATTGCACGATAATAATTATATAATATTAGATTTATATTGAAAGTGCATTGGCCAATATTTAACAATGTAATAGGAATATTGGTCTAATATTGATTCAATATTAAACCAATATTGCTAAATAGACATAGTGGCTGAATAAGAGAAGGCGTCCATCTTACAATATTGGAAATACTAGATTTACATTATTTCCCAATATTGCGCTAATATATTGTGCTACTAAGGTACGACTTTGGTACTTCTTTATGCCCGATTTCTTCACATCCAGTTATGTTACGGTTAAAGTTAAACAGGAGATAACTACCAGATCCATGCACGTGATTGGTCAAAACTTGAGATTAACCTCCTGATAATTTTATCGGGAAGTGAAAAAATCAGTCATTAGAGATACAGGTAGAGGAAAGTCTCCTATTATGAGACGGGCTCCTAATATGAGATAGTGGGGTTTCTGCTAAATTAATAAGCATCATCTGTTGGTTCCACCATGAATTTATTGCCCTTGGAGCGAAATATGTTTAGTGGAAAATTCACTGGTTGATTGTGTAATCGTTGCGAAAAAGATTTGCAATTGAATTTGGGAATTGAAAACCTGCTATCTCATATTAGAAACCTATCTCATAATAAAGGACTTTCCTCTATATCTTTACGACTTTTAGACTTTTAGACAAGTGTGCTGTTTGGGAGATACGTGGTATAAGATATAAATTAAGTGTTCTCTATATCGTATATGTTTCTGTAAGATGTTCTTTCTCTGATATCTCACATCAAAGCTGTGGTCTTATCAACAGAGTAATTCCATTGGTAAAAACAAACTACGAATATTTCCCTGACATATCATCGTAAGGTAACAGTCCTGTCAGTATCTTATCTGCGTAGAGCAACTCTATCGGTAAAACAGACCACGAATATTTTTCTTTTCTAGCGCAACACCGTTAGCAAGGCAAAGGTTCTGCCGTCGTTGCGCGTAGTCTAATCAATTATTGGCCAATCGATGGATCGAGGTCATAATTCGGGTCACTGCATTCAAAACCAGCGATATTCTTAGCCGAGTTATGGTAGATAAATTGGAGAGCTTGCTTATTTTTTCTTTTCTGACAGACTGCCCGCGACCACCTGCTTAAAGGTGCAGGCATCAACAAAACGCACGTGGACCACACTCGACGTGGCAGCGCGTACCTGTGTAGAAAATCGTCACGCTTGATTTTTTTGTATAGTATCGTACGAACGTACCTCGGGATGATCTCGGACCTGTTGAAACTGCTTCACCATTCCTTCCCGGTGGCACTTTCTGTATCTCATGATCCCCTTGAGTATTCTGTCCATCGCGGCATTCGGGCGACAACTGTGGAGTAAACCGTGGGAAACTTGTTTTCCGATCGCGTGGAGCAATGACAGCACACAATTCCGCCATTCGGTAACAATTGACGGCGGGAAATTTAATTTTCCTCTGCAACCTACGATAGAAACAAGCGCGAAGTCTATTATCTTCAAATTCAGGCTCCTTTGATTTCATTAAGTACACATTGGAAACGAAATAAAATAAACCTCGAGGAGCAGACTTGTAATCTCTATAATTAAAACTTTGAAAAGATGGACTCTTGGTTTCTTCTCGATTAAATTTATTTTACTTTTAGAATTTACTTCATCGAAACTTTTCGAACATATTCAAGTATTTATTCCGTGAATTAGAAGAAATGCATGTATAAGTCTGTTCGTGGTTGTAATTTATTCGCACAATTAAAAAATACATCATGGTTTCGTCATATCTCGTATGTAAACTTTGCGTCCATATTCAAGGGTGTAAACATGTAAATACACCGTACAATCCTTTCCTATGAAATTGACGTTAACTATCTATCACGAGACACGGTGGTGTCTCGCGCCAAGTATAAGCGCAGCTAGAACCGCGCGTCGACTTTACGATACTCCGATGCAACATGGGCCGCGTATCCACTCGCAAACTTCTCTTACACTCGAGAACAGTTCGTAGTAGTAAATTTAATCATTGAACACATAAGTAAAAGCAGTTGTATGTATCCATTATCTTCGGCAGCTTTTCTACTGTCGTGCATCACCTTTGAGAACAGACGTTCTCAAGTGGATGCCTGGCCTTACGTTGTTGTATCGTGACGCATAAAAATACAAAAGAAAGACATGTGGTTAAAATGATTTATTTATGGCTAACATTCGTTGGATGTTATTGCAACACGTTTCGAACCGCGAATGATCCTAGACTCGGTAATGAGAAAAGAAACGGTTCCAAATGAAAGGAGGGAATCGCGCATAAACGGAAACTATTCTACATCGACAAGATGCATCGCAGATACATTATGACCACATTACATCTGCATGTAAACACGTGGGACGAATTCATACCGATACAGTCCTAATATACAATCACAGACGTATAATATATAGACTGCGCATTTGGCTGAAGGAATGTACAAACTTTATAAAGAGACGACATACTTTTAGTGGTAGCCCTCTCTCTATCGCCCTCTGTTGTTTCCCTTACTCTTCTGGTACCCTTCTACTTTACTAGACAGAGATGAGGCCACCACTCAACTGTCAGCTGTCTCGTTCTAAAGCTTGTACATGTTCTCAATACGAGAAAGGTAGGAAACGCGCAGTCTATTCTTACTATGTCTATGTATATAATACGACCTGAAATACAACGACAACCGTCAGCCTCTTTCGGACACGTCGATTATATACTTATTTTGTCATAAACGCTCACGTTGAGGGTCAAGTATACTTTGCGACCCCGATCTCGTTGACAATCGTATCCCCGCGATCGCGCTTTAGCTTAACGACGCGACTCCGGAAAATTCAGCAATTGCTAACAGGATGGACCCGGGTGACGAGGCGCCTGGGTCGCGCCGACTTCTATCTGGTCAGCGCCGAGCTCTGGCTGGCACGCTCCAACTTTTCAAAGTGCTTCCGCGCGTTGCGTATATTGATCAACGTCGCCGCGGATGCTGAAAGAGGACGCACATTTCCAACAGGTTTCGCGTGCAAAGAAATCACAAGCTTATCGTTTGATAACTTACGTATTGTTGGATCGGACATGATGACCATCACGTATGTGTTCGAGGTAAATATGTCAATGAAGGCCGCGAAATTGGTATTTCTAACTTCCATACTTTGAAACTGCGCCGCCAACTTGCTGCAAAGTTAATGCGACGTTCACATCTCACTCCCGCAAGACACCTTAGTTTCCTACGCAACTCGTACTTACCTGCAACTCAGTTTGAATTGCTTTATTATATTGGAAACCTTCTCAAAGCGATGGACGTCTCTGTGAAACTGCCGCTGGCAATGACTTATAACTAGAAAGGTCGCTCTCTCGAACAGAAGAACTTCGTCCGCGTCGATAATATTGGCAAACTGATTCAAGCTTTGCTCAAGTTCCTTCACATTGGGGATCAGCATGTATACAATGGATGACCATGCCCTACGGTAATGAGGCTTCATTAACACTCGTCTGCTTCCGTTAAACCCTCGCTCGATACACTACCTGTATAATGTCTCATCCCATATGCTAGTTCTAAAGCAGGTGCACTCTAGAGGCAAGCTCAGTCTTTTCAGATCTTCCTCTCGTTCCCTGAAAATGTAATCGCGCTGGTCCTCTTGCACAAGATCCATCTTGTGAACCAGACAAAATATCTTGGCCTCCGGGCTGTTTTGCAGTATCGCCTCTAAGCAGCTCTGGTAATAATGCATATCTTTGTCCAGTTCCCTCGACTCCACATCAAAGACGTAAATCAACACCTCCACGTTTCTAAATATGTTGTCGCGCTGCGATGCGAAGTAATTCTCCATGAATGCTTCCTGGCCGCCGCAATCCCACAAGTTCAGGACCAAGTTGCCGAGAAAACGAACGTGAGAGTGTTCTACGTCGACTGCAATAAATCGCGTTACATTAGTCCGTCTTTTAGCGATCCACATTTAAGCCTGATCAACAATGTGCTCTTTGCGTCTAGAAACATTCTATTTTGTAGCCAACAAATACATTAAAAAATTTTATGTAAGTTAACAAATTGTGCATCATACATTGTGCAATCGTACATTGTCGACGAATTCTTTTTAAGTGTTTTGATTTGCTTATATAAAACGGAATGTTTCTAGACGCAACGAGCACATTGTAGATTAGGCGTTAGCATACGTGTAGCTTACTCGTTGCTCCTAGACGATGGGTATCGCGAGCAATGTAGTTGGCGAAAATAATGCTGCGCATACTCGTCTTCCCGGAGCCGCTCTTGCCCATCAACAATACCTAAAAGTGACGCACGTTATTCATAAAATCGCAGGACAAAGAAGTACTTGTCGCGTGAAAGAGAACTTGCGTAGGAAAGAACGTAATCCCGTGCGTTTACGTGATGTAAAAATAATAAGAAGGCTCACCTTTTTCTTCATCTTGAGTAAGTAAAGTCTCGTTTCAACGAAGCCTTCTTGAGAGTAAGAGCTCGCAATACACGCAGGCTGGTCTCGCCAAGTCTGACTTATCAATCGTTCTCCGCCCTCGAGCAAGGATCGCGCGCGGCAGTACGCTCAACCTGCGGATGCCTGTAGTCAACTGTCGCGTCGAAACACTGCGAGACACGCAATGCGATTACATGTCACGTCCCGTCGCTACCATCACTCTCATCTCGAAATGATCATGAGCACACATGGAAACATACTCCCACGTCTCTCGGCGCGTCTCGGCTACCAGAGAGAAACTTGAGAGCGGCCACGCCGGCGTTTTACTTGATACCGTTTTCTTCGACTGGTTCCAGCGCTTTACGCCCATTTTCATTTTTGGAACTATATTCCGCTACACCCATTTTCAAGCACTGCCGATAAAGTCTCCACTTGGTGCGTATACGTGCTACTTTTGGTTGTGTTCCGTGCTGCATGCACGAAATGTCGGTAACACGAGAGTGTTATTGATTTTTGTCAAGTTTGAGTACGATACGCAACTGTGATTAGTCAATTTCAATTATTGTAGACTGGGACTTATCGATAAAAGAGGCCTCAGAATACGGGCCAGTGTGTAATCCCGTATTTGCAGTTGCACCGGAGCGAGTTCGGGTGAGTTCGGAGTGAGGTAAGAAGTTGCACGGAAGTGCAACTACAAACGAACAGACATGTATGCACGAACGGCCTACCTATCTTCTTCGTAGACTCCTCGGTTAGATCGATGTTGTCACACTTGTCACGTGAACAGTACGAGGATTCTCTCATGTGATCCTTTCGGCTTTCGATAGCTGTGAATAGTCCGTTCGCGTTACGGTCCCTGGCTGCGCGTTCGTTCGCCGTGATTTTTCGTGGGATCAGCGATAGGATAGGATAAAAGCATGGGCGCCTCCGCGATACCTGTGATAGCCTTCACGCTCCTCTGGGGTATCGTGCTATTCCTGGGAGTAGCCCTGCCACTTTTCGTCCCGAAGGGACCGAACCGTGGGTAAATAGATCTCCCAATTCGCTTTTACTCGCACTCACGTCCCGTTGCGATTCGCGCTCGCACTTGAGTCTCAACACCATAGACACATTAACCCTGGACTCCGCTTATGAGGTAGTGTAGTGCCCTAAGTGGTGGCATCCTCCTGAGGGAAATAGTACGAGTTTATTCGGGTGTCTATCTTTCTGTAGCAGACGTGAATCACGAATCAGAAAGATCCAAATAAGCTCATGCGAGAAATGTAATTATTAGCCTTAGGGCTCTACTGTTCCATAAGCAGTCTGTGGTCAGTATGTCTGTGCTTCATACAGACGGATATTGTTTCTCGTACATACGTCTCTTCCTCAGACGCCGCGACTCTTGCAAAAGCATCAAGCAGTGACGACAGTGCGCTTTACTTAACGTTCTGTGGAAATTTCGGCAGAGATTCCGAAAACATCAATATTCGCTCCAATGATATCAGTAGTTAATTAACTTTAATTTGTATCTTGTTTCCAGAATACTACAAGTTCTACTGGTATTAACGGGCTTTACGTGCTGGTTATTGTAAGTACAGCCTTACCCTAATAAATCGACGCTTCAATTCGTATTTGCAACTAACATGTGAATGAAATTCTTTTGCAGCTGGCTGTGTTGCTACATGTCGCAGATGAATCCACTGATTGGGCCAAAGTTGGACCGCGTAACCGTCCTAGTTATGGCTCGAGAATGGGTAGGTGGAACAATATCGCAGATACAAGTAGTTGGCACATATGCATAGTATAACTGATAGGTCCACTCCGTCATTTGTTTCGTTTTGCATTGATCCCTTCTGCGCACCCGACATTATTCTGGGCAGACCAATGAGAGAAAAATTGTATGTGTGGTAGTGTAGCTTTGACGAGTACGTGTGCACACACGTCGCTGGAGTAGGGCGAAACCACGTGATCGAGACCGCAAAAATCAAGGAGGCTGACAGAGTGGACCTACTAGTTATACTGTTGATATATACGCGATTGAATGACGTGTAATGCGTGTAAATAATTACATTTGTCGGTATATGCAATTACACAAGAGTTAAACGCATTTTGGTTTGTTACAGGGTAATCCTATCGAAGATCATTGAACATTCCGCGGTAGGCGAAACTGTTGATTTCAAATATGTATATCCATTCCCCGACGTTACTTTTAACGAAATTGTTTAATTATAAGTGTAAAGTTATGTACGAATTATATAACAGCGCCTGCATGTATTCCTACAAATGGAATTTCTAAAAGTGGAATGATTGTAATTCATTCGGTTATACATTGCTAATTTAATATGTATATAAAGTATCTATTGTTATTGCTTAGAAGTGTGTAAGAATTTTAATGTAATGATTACTTGAAAAATTATTTTTAGAAGTGTCGCATCTAGATATTCGTGTGCAATGGATGATAGCAGAGCCATTTTGATCACTAGCGAAATTTAATTGGATCGGTGGAAAACTGCGTTTTAATTATAGGTCTGTTTCTTGTAGCCGAACAGGTGCGGCCAGTTAAAATAATGTAATTGTAATTAACTGGATTTTTTTCATTTATACCACGCTCTTTTTCTTTCCCATTCTCCATGTATTGTGATGGTTATCTAAAGTTTAACTTTTCTCAAAACTTACACTTGTAGACATTTTTGGAACCACGATTTCTGGAATTAAAATATTTGTAAAATTCTTGGAATTTTAGATAGCGCGACCTTTTTATCGACCATGTTCTACTATGGACTTAAGAAATATCTGGACAGATCGTAAAGTACCCTCTCGCTTTCGCGAGAAGATCAAAATGATCCAGATTAAAATGACCCCGTGCTATGATTGGTCGAATCTGGAATTTTATTGAATAAAATTTCAATGTGATGTTATGAAATTTCAGATTTGACCAATCATAGCACAGTCATTAAGTGCTGCCGGATATTTAGTGTTTATTGTTACATCATGAGGCATTACACGGCGTGAACTAAGTCCATTGCAGTAATTTTTATTTCCCAATTCCAGGTGTTAATTTTCGATAAATATTAAAGTTATAATTATTGAAAACGTATACATACATGAATGTTTATTCGATATGTATTTACGAATGTTTATACTATTACATACATATAGGAAAATTAGTTATCCGCATATGGCAAAAAAAGTTCAACACCATAATGATAAAATAATATTCTGTGCTTTTACATTTTTATATATTAGTGTACAAATGAATAATCCAATTTTTTCAGCTACATTCAGGGTTTATTTTAAAAGAAAGTAAATGAAATTGTTCAAAGTATTCGCCGTTGCTTTCTATAACTTTAAGCCACCTTTCAGGCAACTGATGAATTCCATCTCGGAAAAATGTTACGTCTTTGGATACGATAAAGTCGTCAAGCCATTTTCGGATCTCATCCACTGTTTGGAAGTGCATGTCGGACAAGGCGTGTTGCATCGACCGGAACAAGTGGTAATCGGATGGAGCAATATTTGGTGAATATTGGCCGGGTGCTGCAAGACTTCCCAGCCAAGACTCATTATAGTGTCTTTTGTGTTGGAAGTAATGTGTGGCCTGGCGTTGTCATGCAACAATTTCACTGGACGTTCTCCTTTGCCAGTATACGGGCGTTTTCGTTCCAATTCTTGACTCAAGCAGATTAATTGACGTTGGTAGCAGTCCGCAGTAACTGTTTCACCCGGTTCCAACAACTCATAATAAAGCACACCCTTGATATCCCACCAAATGCAGAGAAGAACCTTCTTTCCGAAGCGATTGGGTTTTGCGACCAATTTTGATGATTCGCCGGGATTTACCCATGACTTTCTGCGTTTCGGACTGTCTCATAGAGTATCCTTCTTCTTCTTCTTCTTCTAATTATGGCGCCCGGCACCTGATAAACGGTAGCCGATACGGCCACGACAAACCAATAGACGTTGTTGAATTACAGACCCTATAGAATTATAGACGACTAATTGGTGATATATACAAAGCAGGGGCCCGACTATCGGGCCTCGCGCGGGATGATGCAACCCCGCAGGATCAAAAATTTTTCTTCTAGGTTAGAAGACGCGCTGCACACTCCACGTCCCAAACGGAACTTACATAGAGTATCAATTTCTCATCGCCCGTAACGATTTTCCACAAGAAAGACTTCCGACGCTGCTTATGGAGAAGAGAAAGACATGCTGCCACTCGTTGATTTTTGTTGGTTTCAGTGAGTTCGAGCGGAAACCCATTTTCCTTATTTCTGGATCTTTCCCATCTCATGTAGGCGTTTGGAAATCGTTTGCTGCGTTACTCCCAACTGTTCTGCAAGCTCTTTTTGCGTTAGTGCCGAATTCTCAGCGAGCAGTTGTTCCAAATCATCGTTATCGCACTTCCGAGGGCCTCCAGGGCGTTGTTTGTCGATTAGACTAAAATCACCGCTTTTAAACCGCTTAAACCAAAATGCACACACATCGTACGATACAACACCTTCGCCGAGAAAGGAGCAAATCGATTCGCACGCTTTTGTAGCATTTTTTCCTTGCTGGAATTCGTAAAGAATGCAGTGTCGGATATTCACCTTATCTGTTGCCATTTTCGACTGTACTGAACTGAATACTTTTGAAGGTTACGTTGGGCCTTCCGCCAAACTATATGTTCTTTTTAATAGTTATATGTCAACATTGTATAAACACAAAAGAGCGGGAAAATCTAATTTAAAATTGATTTCATAACTGTTTAAAATAATTTGGATTATTCATTTGTACATACACCTAATACTATACAGGGGTGCTTTCGCGACGTAGAGTAAAATGATCCGGATCAAAATGATCCGTGCTATGATTGGTCAAATCTGAAATTTCGTAGCATCTCATTGAAATTTTATTCAATGAAATTTCAGATTTGACCAATCATAGCACGGATCATTTTGATCCGGATCATTTTACTCTACGTCGCGAAAGCACCCCAGGGTGAATCTTAATGCCTGCCCCAGCCTTTTACCACGAGAGATGGATTACCGACTGCAATTTTAGTTCACCGAACGGCACAAGAGGGCAGTTGCTTAGATCTCAGGGATGTTGCAGGCAAGTTGAAAACTTGTTCCACTTACAGATATCACGCGGAGAAAAATAATTTGCTAGCACAGTATATCTTATGTAAACTTAAGTAAATTTTGTCTTTTATTTTATGATAAAGTTATTTTCTGTTTTATGGACAACTATGTGTTAAAAAAATAACTTTATCATAAAATAAAAGATAAAATTTACTTAAGTTTACATAAGATATACTGTGCTAGCAAATTATTTTTCTCCGCGTGATATCTGTAAGTGGAACAAGTTTTCAACTTGCCTGCAACATCCCTGAGATCTAAGCAACTGCCCTCTTGTGCCGTTCGGTGAACTAAAATTGCAGTCGGTAATCCATGTCTCATGGTAAAAGGCTGGGGCAGGCATTAAGATTGATCCCCATATTGGGTCCGTGCCTATAAGTCCGTGACGAAATTCCGTTTGAAATTTACGTGATTTTCGGCACGGACTTAAGCACAGACCCAATACATAACTTATTTTTGCACTTTTCCTAGTAAGAAAGCCTCAGTCTTTTCAAGGCGTGAAAAGAAATTACATTCCGTGACGCTATCGAGTGTTGCCATCTTGGTACGTCATGTCCGTTACAATAGACATTTCAGTCCCCTCACCCCTTTCGGGCCGCCCCCGCGGCACTGTGCCTCGTCCAGGTGTTCCTACGTTCATGGATGTCGGTTCTGTTCGGTTCGCGCCGTTCGCGGTCTGTCTCCACGGTGCAAATGTCAATCGCGAGAAGTGACACAATAATAATGGAGGCGTGTAATGCTGTTGAGCGCGAGGTGGATAAGGTTCTGTCGAAATTCGGCGCGATAAATGAACACGCGGAGACAGTGCTGCACGACCTGATAAATCACATCCAGTCTCTGAAAAAGGATCTAGAAGAAGGTAAACGGAGGGGGGGGGGGGGGATCGTTGACGCTCCCCGCGAATCTTTGTCTCCGATCTCGACTGCTCCGGCTGGTTTTGCGTCGAGTCACGCGGGACTCGCGCCCGCGACTCTTAACGAATAGAACTGGCCTCCCGATTGACGGATTGCTTTATTTATTAGCGCGAGCGTTTAATTCCTCGGAATGACTAACCTGCAAGTCAAGTTTTCACTGCATATTGTACGCTGTTAACAACCTTAGTCCTGCGTAAATTGCCACACAATAATGTGCAATTGAATGCAAATTGCGTCGTTTTCTTTGTTCATTTAACTCGTTACGTTTTCTCGACACCAAGCTATCGCCCTGTCTCGCAGCCCCATTTATTGCTGCAATTAGATCAGACATACAAAAATTAATGTCGAAGCTAATAGTTTGGTTTTTAAATACATTTTATACGTGTGAGATAAAGAAGAGGAAAACTGTTTATAATGTGCATGCCGCGCAAATATTTTCGTTTGTATTAACATCTGAATCTAATTTAATAAATATGATATTTACATATTTATTCTTTTGCATATAGAATTATTATGTGCCGTCGACTTTGATTGCGAAATGTAGCTCGATATATTTTTATTAGCGCCACCTAATCAGGAACTGACGGCTGGCCAAGTACAAATGTTGAAGCAAGCAATGACAAAAGTACGCGATACTGTACAAAGATTGGCAACGGATCACCGCGATTTGCACAGTACAGTGTCTAAGGTGGGTAAGGCGATAGACAGAAATTTCATTGCCGACTTTGCTAGCACCAGCAGGGAAGACGTGTTTTCCGGGCCGGAGAAATCTCATCTCTTGAACCAAATAATCTGTCAGCACTTTTATCGTCAAGGGATGCTAGACATTGCGGATGAATTAGCAGTAGTGAGTCTCCTTCGTCAAGTGCCAGTCCATCTTACAATCTTCACGTGTAAGACTGTAATCGGTAATGCTTACAGGAAGCTGGCATCAAAACCGACGAAGGCAGGAAGGAACCGTTCACAGAACTGAACTATATACTGGATTGTCTAAAACAGAGAAATCTCGAGCCGGCGTTAGATTGGGCTAAGAAACACAGAGAAGCACTTTTAGCGCAGGTGACTTCCGACTGCGTCCAGTCGCTTTTATGTTGACGCCTGACGTGTGAATCGTAAATCTTTCATTTCCTTCCAGAATTCCTCTCTCGAGTTTAAACTACACAGATTACATTTTATAAGATTAGTCCAACAAGGCCCTAGCAAGCAGAGGGAAGCGATACTGTACGCCCGTCAAAATCTCACGCAGTTTGTCGGACGTTACGAGAAAGAAGTGCAATCTCTAATGGGAACGTTACTTTACCTGCCACATGGAATCCAATCGTCTCCCTACAGCCACTTGTTAGATCCCACTTTATGGCTCGAGATACACGACGTTTTCACTAAAGAAGCGTGTACATTACTAGGCTTAAGTGTGGATAGTCCCTTATCTGTTTGGTACATACATCTCATTTGTTCATAATTAAAAGGGATTTAGCGGGCTAAAACATTCGCGATTTGTTCAATTGCAGTATCAACGCAGGATGCACCGCGCTACCTGCGCTACTAAACATCAAACAAGTCATGCAGCAGAGACAAGTTACCGGTATCTGGAGCGGTAAAGATGAATTACCTGTAAGTACAGGGTCGCGCGTATTCATACAAATATTTAGGTGCGTAGAGACATTAGGAAATTGAAGAATACCGATCCCTTCCTGTCTGCAGATCGAGATAGATCTGGGAAAACAGAGCCGTTATCATTCAGTCTTCGCCTGTCCCATACTCAGGCAACAAAGCACGGAGAACAATCCACCGATGAAACTGGTTTGCGGCCATGTCATTTCTCGAGACGCACTGAACAAGCTCGCCAACGCAAATAAGTAGGTGTTACATATGCGGCGAGGCTGGGGTACATTGGTGCTTTCTAAGTGCTGATTTAAAGTCACTTTTTAAAAGAAATCAATTTATCTCCAGGTTGAAATGCCCGTACTGCCCGGCGGAGCAGAATCCCGAAGATGCGAGACTTATTTACTTTTAAGCTGTGATATACTATCTATACATATAGTAATATATACATTATATATATATATGTGTGTGTGTGTGTGTGTATAAGGACAATATACACATGTAAGAGAGTTAGTTTTGCAGTTTCTTTGTAACGAATTATATCGAATGCAAAAGAATAATACAAATTATGTGCAATAATCGGAAAATTGTAAATTTATATTTTACATTTGTCATCGATACTGATTCTATACATCGTAATATCAAGATCGATCATTCACCTTTTTTTCTTAAAGCAGACATACAAGTTTGCCAATCGCAATTAACTTTGCAGTCTTTTATTTAGAGCGAGAAACTGGTTCTCAAATATCGAAAGAAAAACGGAGGAACTGTGATAGTTTTAATATTCGTGGGGTAGATGTAATTACACATATTGTTGGTAGACAATTTATATATATTACTCTAATGTATAAGTGATTTCAGCTTTGTACGCGAGTGATAACTTAAGAACCATAAATCTCTAACGACGCCTAACAAATTTGTTACAAGATCTTCGTAAACTTCTCGTTTCTCATTTCGATTGTATGTACTGGCTTGACTATAGTTAAATGAAGAGATCATTTTGTAAACATGTGTTTTCCAATTTATTCTTTACTTACGTCCCTCGTAATTTTTAACATTCGTCAATTCCGACACAAATATAAAATAAGAGTTACGAGGATAATATTTAAGAAGACCGCTATTCAGATGAAATACTCGCACCTGTTGCGCCTATACGAAAGCTACGAATGATATCGATCAAACAAAAGTGAGAAAACGTGCATTACAGTGATGGTAACCGATTATTCATTCAAAATCTGATTTACTCGTTTGCCAAATTTTAAAAAAACATCTCGCACAAAAATCTACATAATTGCAGCACAACTTCCTTTTTAATATAATTACATATAGTTTCGGTACACGTAAGATCTCTTTTGGTAACATGAAGAATTGTGCAGGTAAGCTACATATAAGTGACGGCTAAAAATGGTCGATTTAGCAAACAAAAATTAGTACAGAAATATATACAGAGAGAATTGATCATATCAAGTAAATTTATCATTATTCTTCAAGCCAAAGCTGGATCACCGATCCTGCCGCCCCTACGGTCTGCAAAACGCCGAACCTTTGATGAAAGGAATGAACCCGTTGAGGCGTTGCCTCGCATGATTGATAAATTATCCATAGATGATAGTGCGAAGCGAAACAGCGCTAGTAAATTAAATCGGGATTCTATAGCTCGAAAAGAAATCAGGGAACGTAACTTCAAGTTGACAACTTCTTTGTACAATATCGATGGAATGTCATTCGAAGAGCTGCAAGCTTCTCTATGTAGATCTGTGGAAAATCCGCGACAACCGTTTTCATTTTTAACGAATATTTCTGATGAATTTGCAAATAATAAACAGTTTTCGACGAAACCTACGGATATCGATGTAAGTACAAAAGGATGACCTAAAATTGATTGATAAAAATTAACAGAGAAACTATTAGATATATCATTATAAGCATATTTGTTAATTAATTCGGCATTGTTTATTTCTCCAGATGCAATTGGCTGCTGTAGCAAAGCGTATCGAATCGAGTAAAATTTTATTAGAGGAAGCTAAATCTCACATCAAAGACATATATCTTCGCGCTAAAGAAACTGACGTTCGTCGAGCATGGAAAGTGGATGATGGTAAATAATATAGTCATTTATCAAGAATTGAAAAACTAACACAACAGTAAATAACGATAAAATTGATCTATAATAGATCAAATGCTTGTCTAATTTTAATATTTCTATTTTTATAGTTTGCGATGATAACGCTAAAGAACAGCTGTCTTGCAAGTAGTGGTTTTAATCTTATAAGTTTGTAAAGAATACGAATATTAAAATAAAAACTCAAAAGACCAGTTTTTTATTTTATAATATTATGTTTCGCGACAGAATTTAAACGTTGTTCATTAAGATAAATCTAACAGTTCATCACCGAATAAAAAGTTAAAATTTCAGGCTAAAAGTACTTAGCATTTGCTGTCTATACATGTATACATAATTATATATCTCAAATACATAAGTTCATGAAAATTGAGTTTAATTACCTTTAATTGGCATGCTATCTGATGATGTGATGTCACAGGGTGTTTCAATTACAGGTAAGACAAAAGAGAACATCGATCTCATCTTCTTGTGAATGATACAAAGTTGTGTATAATTACAAAATAATATTAACAATAACAATAATTGTAGAATGAGGTAGCGTGCTCTTATATGGCTTCCTCCCGTTTGAAACGGGCGGATAAAATTTCCGGGATCATGTTGACTTCGTTGTCGACCTTCCCGTATATGCACCAATCATTGCTTGGACTAGTCTCGACGATTTTGGATGATTCTGTGAACTCGGGTGGATCGTCGTAACCGCGCTGTGAATCACCATGACCGTTCTCGTCGACGGACCACTGCGAGACGATCTCCTTGAACGGCTGCAGGCAGCTCGCGTTCTGTTGAATGTTCTGCAATTCCTCGTCGCAGAGGCGCTCGACCTCCGACAGCTTTTGCCTGTAGGCGTCGACGAGCACGCGCTTATACGAGTTGTAACGTTGCTCGGCTTGCTCGAAGGAGTGTCGGTCATGGTACTTGGCGAGATTCTTTTCGTACTCGAGTATCGCGAGTTCCCTGATGCTGCGCTCCGGCGTAATGTCAACGATGTTATCTGCAAATATGCCATAACTATTAATTTTGGATAGGCGCGGATTAAATCGAACGGGTAGAAAAATATGCTGAAAAGTCAACACAAATTCAGATTTACTAATTTTAAAATTAACAATCTATTAAGTCATCCCATAAATAATGCGGTATACAAAGAAGCTTGATTTATCCTTTAGCTCAAAATCGAAAGCCTTTATATTTAGGGAATTAAAATTTTAAGATTAAGATGGGAAGAAGTGGTAAATAATGATGGGAATTATATTTTAAATTAAAATCAAAATGTTAAATTTTTCTCATTTATTTCAACAATATTTTTAAAAAACCGCATTACTTATAGGATGATTTAATATTATTGCAAGTTATTTAAGGCTCTAGAGTTCCCTAAGATTCGTTTGTTTAAAAAATTTACAATTTTACGGAAACAAATTTCTATCAGTTCCTTTTCACTCACTCTCTTTACAAGACTTAAAGGGGTGAAGTGAAGAGTACGAGTTATCGATTAATTGATGATTGCTAATCGTTACCCAGGTCGCTCGAGAGCGGCGATTCAACGGCATAAGCCGCGGCTGCGGCCCGCGCGGCCGCGGTTGCCTCTTCAAACGCAATGGCATCGCTTCTCTCACGTGAAAGCTGAAACTCTTCCCTCTCTTTTTTCCAAAGAGCCGCCTCCTCGTCCAGTTTTTCCCGAAGGCTCGTCATTTCCGACAAGAGCCTCTGGGCGCGATCGTGAAGAATGGATCTAAATCGAGTAATTTTCTGTCAGGCAAATAATAATTTTACCTCGAATAAGAAAATGCTCAAGACACAAGAAAAGCATGTTTCATACTTCCGCTCGTGAACTTTTTTTCACGTTGTTTTAAATTAAAAATGATTGAGAAAGTTTTAATTAATTTGGTTTCATCTTTTTCATAGATTTGATGAACTTAGTTATTTATACAATATAGTTTTCTAATTGTCAAAATTTTTTATTCGATGTCTTGTTATCTCTTTATATTATAGAGCACAATTCAGATCTCTTTTGTCGCTTCCGTTCAGATCTTCGCAAGCAGAACTATCCCCGTAATTTTCGTTAAAAGGGAAAGAATGCACCCATCGTTCTCAAAATATTTCTTCAAAATTAAAAAATTCATAGCGGGAATACAATACGCGAATTCTTTTCCACGGTCGATGGACGATTCTAAATCTGTCGCGAGTGGAAGTTGAATCTCCAATCGCTCGACATCGCCCGACAATCCTTCGGATGCGTCGTCCTCCTCAGACGTCTCAATGTAAATCGCGGGTACATTTCCGATTACTTCTTGCGTGCCTGCTTCGTCGCGTTTCTCCGGGTGACATTTGGGAATTTTGCAGTCTCGGGACTCCGAATCTTGAGGGGCATCGTTTAGGGCGACAGGCGAGGCTTCCGTCGAGGAAATACGCTTGTCGTCCATCGGGTTTCGTTTTCTTTCTTTTTTTCTTGTAAGATTCGATCGAACACAAAATTCACGAAAAATATCGCTGACAGATAGAAAAATTTGACGTTTATTGATCTTAACATACCGATCTCGAGAATATAAATTGCACGCGCTTTCGTTTTGTTTTTAAGAAAGCATGTAGTGATCGTAGCGGAAATGTTCCAAATATATGGCGAAGTGACAATATTTTAATTAAAAAATTTCCAGTGCAAAAGTTTTTCTTACAATGCGACTACGACACATTGGCTGCCGTTTTTTTTTTATTTGTTCTCCTCCTACGGGAACGCCATGGACACTGTCATTTGACGAGAGCAGTTGTGGCCGTGGGTGACACATTGGCTGCGTTCAACGGAAAAAGCTGCATCGCAACAGTTACAAAATTCGCAAATTTGACTGAAGTATACTCTTAGATTCTACAATAATTAAAAGCATACGCCAATCAGGTTCAAGATTTTTACAACAGTTGGAAAGCGACTTTTTCCGCTGAACGCGGTCAATAACTCATTTGATGCACATATAATGCAATAGTAAACTGCCTGGACGAATGTTGAAAACAGGAAAAAATTTATATGGGAGAGATGTGTAACGCATATTTAACAGTTGAGAAGTGTGAAAAAATAGGGGAAAACGAACAAATACATCGCATATACAATATTTGCATTGCATGGCGTAAATATTTATCTATGTAACGTAAAAATAATTTTTACAATGTAACAACAAAAAAATTTGCACATTCAATAGTATTTGTATCACTTGGCTCGATAGAAAAATTTGACGTAGTTAATTGATGATTATGATGATGATTATTGATTAACCCTCAAGTACTCACGAGAGGAAAAGTTCTCTCTTCTCGATTTCTTAAAGTGGAATCCGAGAGAAAACAAGCAGATTTTGTGCAAAATCCTTGTAAAATTTAAATTTTCTTATCGGGCGCGCGCAAGACTAGCTCTTCCATTCTTCTTTTTTAAAAAAAAGTACAACGGAAAGACACGTCCATCAAATCACATTGGTCCAACACAAGTACTCAAGGATTAATCTTCCGTGTGTGTATATTAATAATACATTTTTTCATCGAATTGCAACAACGAATTAGTAACGCCTTTGGAATTTTCAAAGTCGACCGTAAGCGTTTGCTTTAGAAGAAATTGGCAAAGCAATACCGACAGAAAGAGAGAAGGGATCGACGTAATTAAGTCGTTGAAACCCCAATCGTATGTCCTATATACACAATGAAATGCCGCCCGAGGTGTTGTGAGCCTTAAAAAAAAAACAATTTGCAACGTATGTTCGTGACATTATTCGACTACTCTGCCACTTCTCGGGCCGGCACGTCGGAGTATTGCATTGTTTGATTACAGAGAATGTTCTCAATTACAGAATAACGTGAAGTCGTATGATCCTGCCCGATGTGTAAAATTTTTCTATGTACAAATTTCGATCTCGGTGGGATTACGTATGAGTGCGTGGAAAGCCGCAACGATATATCACCATACAGCCTAAATTGTCATTGTCGAAAGTACAATCCAAATGTAAATTCTGATCGATCTCGGTATCCGCGCTAAGCTGCTAAATTAATTATCCGTAAGTGTTAAGATCGATTAGAATCTAAATATGGTCGAATGACATTTACATTTACATTTTAATTGTATGTAAGACACTCGTAGAAAATTCCTCGAGTCAGTCACATTGTTGTAGCGCAAAGAGCGATCGAAAATTAAAAAAAAAATAATGAACGAATACTCTCTTTACGCCGTTTGCACTTTAGCGACGCGCGTGGCGCGCGCGTGTTTGATAATACCGTCTCTGAGGACGTTCAACGTCTAATGATTCGCGACTAGTACGACGGGGGAGGGATATTGGACCTTAAATTAGATTAAACGCAAAAAAGGAAAGACGAGTGTCCATTTAAAAGGCCAAACGCTCGAGATTTGTTCGCACTGTCTGGCTGATCCCTTTGGTCTTCTCCGCCTGCCAGCTCTTGCACTTGCTGCGAAAGAATCGGCATTCCTCCTCGTGATTGGGGTCTTTCATCGGTTTGTAATCCTGCGGCATGCAGAACTCCTTTTGCTCGCTGTAAAATTTCTCGTAGCCTCCAAGCAGGAGGTAAATCTCTGGGTAGTACAGTGCCGGATAGTGCTCCTTGTTACACGCGCGGTCCAGTCTGCGCAGAACCCTCGAGAGATTCGGCCCGCGCTCCCACGAGAACTCGCAGTGGAACACGAGTATGTTGCGCTTGTCGGTGTCGAGCTGGATCCTGGGAGTGATAGCGGTTAGATGATTCAACATGACCTGCTGGACGAGGTCCATGTTGTAGATGTTCACCGCTCCCTTGATGTGGCCCGCCTCGAACTCGTACGGGTATCGACAATCAATGATCTTGTAGGAAGCAACGCGGTCGACAAACTCGCCGCGTAAGAGCGCCGCCACCGTGTTGGACGTGATGGTCTTCAGGTCTCCATGCAGACCGTTCGTGAGCGGCAGTATACACGGCTTGCTGAAGTCACCGATGAGATCGTTGTCGGTGATACTGCGGTGGATCGCCCACTTGATGTTCGTATGCGTCTCGTTTGGACTCGACATCGTCTCGGACATGCTTCTCTGCAGAGCGATCTGCGAGTGCGTGCTCGAGCGTCTCACAGACACGGGCGTCGTGTCTGAGAGCAAGCCGTTGGACTTGCGGGATCTTTTCATTATCGACGTCTCGTTCTCCAACAGGTCTTCCGACGGCCGTTTGTAGGACCTAACGGAATGGGGCGAGATCTCCATTTGTAGTCTGTAGTGCGCCACGGCCTCGTCGTAGCTGTACGTCCTCATCATCGACCTCTTCGAACAGGTCGCCGTGGGCGAGCGAAACAGGCAGGTGCGGATCTTGGACAGCGGCACCCTCTCCAGCGGTGACACGGCCAGCCGCGGTGTCCTTTCCAGTGACGGTGACCTCACCGGCAACGGCGACCTCACCGGCAACGGCGATCTCGCCAGCGGCGACGATAACGTCCTGACGCTCCGCTTGTACATGCCGCTCCGTACCGACCACTTTTTCTCCCTGGACGATATGTTTCGGGAGAAATCGGGGGTCGTCGAGACGTCGTAGTCCGTTGACGCCTCTGACCCGACTAAGTCGCCAGAGATCAGCTTCGCGATGCCGCTCGGTAGCTGCATCTCCTCCTCATCCGTGGTCTCCATGTCATTGAGTTCGCTCACGAGTCCGTCGTCCATGCTCTCGTATCCCGACGACAGGCTACGCAAGAGGGACGAGCTTGTGAACTTCGGGCCATAAGTTGAAGGCCTTGTGGTGTACGGGGCTTGCCACAGTGGACACTCCACAGATTCATGATTCCGCGCTCCAGCCGCTCCAGACATAAGCTCCAAGAGTCGGCGCTGGCGCCTCTCCTTCTCGCTGAGAGGGCTCGACGGATGACCGCTATCCTGGCTGTTCTCCTCGTAAATTTCCAAGGGTTGCCGTATTTTCTTATTACTGCGTGCCTGGACGAAGGATACGACGATAAGCAAGCAAATCGCTGCGCGATATTCAAGTCTTTCGTGACTGAGTTATTCCCTTTTTAATTTTTTTTTGCCAATGTAATGTTATCATTGCCAATGTAATGTATACCACTTTTAAAAAATTTTGTAGGCGGGACTTGTATGCCCCGGTGGTCATGAAAGGGTTAAGGGGAGAGACTCTGGATGGAGCAAATTTCGAGAGTACAGAGATCAATAAGAATATTTAAAAAAGATGAATGTGCATGTGACAAAAAGAGAATAGAGTGGAGGAAAGAAGGAAAGAAACGTCTTCAACATTTTATCAGACATCCCGAGTATGCAATTAAACGAAGACCGAACTGACGCGCGGTTATGGGAATCTGCGGGTGATTCCTTGCAGTTTCCGGTGATTTTTATCGAACATTGAAAGAAGGAGCCGCAGAGAGGAATGAGAGCGTGTCTCACGAGTCGTAGGTGCGATCGCTGAAGGCAAACGAGTGAGAAAGAGAACGCGCGGCAAGTTGATCGACTCTACAGCGGTCACAGCCGGTCGCGCAAGGTGTCGCGTGTATTATGAAAAGAAACAAATCAGAAACCAAAATAACGGAATAACGGGAGGGGAGATAATTCCCTTCCTTCTTCATTGTTAAAACGGACTCGCTATCTGCGATCGACCGGCACATTAGAATCAACGTGTACCTCGCTTGCTGATAAGCGGCAGCTGTGCGACGCATAGCCGTGCACACGAGCCGGATTTGTCGTTCGACCTTAATCGCGGAATTATCTACCTTGGAATGCGTGCGCAACATTTGGAAGTGAATTGAATATGCATGGAAGGTGTAAAAATCTCGCCCGATCTCGCGACGGCGGATGCCCGTAATGGTTGGGCTTTAAATTTTGGTATCGCTTCTGAGATCCGTTGGTCGATGTCGCGGCTTGATGTAAGCTTTCCAAGACCTATTCAAATTTATATCGATATACATCTTAGAAAGAAATTCTAAAATTATCAGAGAGTATTCTCTATTATACTGTATAGAAAATATCCCGTGTTGCAATAAATTCTTCAAGAGTTTCGGTGAACAAAACGCGATAAAGCAATTCCTAAAGAACTTTTAAGCTTCCACTAGCCGCATTTTGTGACATTTCTAATAATTAAAAAGACTAAAAATCAGGTTAAAAAAGTTTGTTGCGAGAGAAACCGTTTCGTTAAAATGCTCCAATATAGATAAACCACATCGGACCCTTTGACAAGGTAGCGTTTCGTACATGGAAAAAAAATTCTGTTGAATTAAGCAAAATAAAGTTGCTCGAATTAAACGTTAACGTCACGGGCTGCCGCAAGCATAAATAATTTACTCGATTGTGTTTGCTATGGATTTCAATTTTAAGAATTGAACTAAATATCCAGATTATTAAGACAACAATCTGATGTTTTTCATGTATTAATACTGATGTTGTTCCAACGATTTTATTTCAATTACACTGATCTTGTTGATACAATATCATTTCTTTTCCGTGTAAAAATCGTCGAGTATAACTCGCATCGTTCCACGAGATAATCGGGGCGTCTGATAAAGCGCATATGGATATTTCGTTATCGGTGAACGGTAAAGTGTGGATATTTTTGTCATTGTCGACTGAGTCTCCCCACAAATCATGTGACATCACGCTCTTACTCTTTGCGGAGTATGGCTGTACACGGCAGCGCCACCGTTCTCCTTGTTACAGTCATGATGCCCATGGGTCCCTCGCCAGCCACCATGTGCGTTCAACGAGCTCACGAGATCCGGAATGTATTTAGCTTCCGAATCCTGAGGAGTCTCGTTCTTTGTAAATGAAAGACTGCAAGCAAACGAACGGAGTCGATTAAAGCTTGTACGCACGTCGCATTTGTAAGATAACTCACCAGCAACGCACACAGGCGACACTGTGTAACACAGTGAGTCGTTTTATCTTTGTTGTTCGTCATTATTAAGCAAGGATGAAATTCTCTGTGTTACACTGTGTCAATCTGTGTCCCTTGCTGGAAAGCACTCAGAGTTGTAAAATTAGTCTTAACGTGCGAATTCCACGAATATTAATCGAATACGTAAAGGAACGTCTACATTGGAAGAAAGCAGTAAGTAAGAAAACCATAACCTTTACTTAGTGTAAAAGCTAAAGTACAGGCATAATTTTTTAAAATATTTATAGCACTGGTCGAACTGGGTTCTAATCCGCCGAGAGTAAGCGTCAGAGCTGAAGTAGGAGTAAAAAAATGGAAACGATTCATTCCTTTACTCCTACTCTTCTCACGCCAGACTTACTTCATCTATTGTAGACGATCCTTAAAGGAGCGCAGTTCGACCAGTGCTATAAACGTTTGCAAAAAATTATGCCTGTGCTTTAGCTCTCGCACTGATAAGTAAAGGTTTTGGTTTTCTTACTTCTTACTTCCAACGTAGACGATCCTTAAGACTTAATCTAAACCACACGCTTCATTCGGGCCGAGAGGAGGAGGGGGGATAATGAATGGAAGCTGAGTGTTGACGATATTTGATCGGAGTGATCTTTGCAGATTGAAAGCATCGTCGGCCCGTTGCACATTCTCGCGAAATAGTGAGTAAGTCGTGCTCAAGTCGTGAGCGATCACAAGTGGCATCCCGGATTATAAATCTAGTCGGTACGAAAATTTTAATGAGTGGACACCTCTTTTTTCCACCCTCTCGAGATGGATCGGGAGCTATTCGAGCCGTAATCATCGTTCCACCGCGATCGTGCGACTCTCAAGACTCCGCAATATCATTTCCTCCTGAATTTTGGCGCGAAAATTTGTGCAGCGTGGCACACGGGTGGCTCGGCGCGCATGCGTGGCACCTGAACGCGGGAAATCCTTCCGGCCGGGACGAACCGAGCAATCCAACGTGACTTTCGTGAACGAAGTTAGAAACTCGAGGAATTCATGTATGTGTATTCCTATTCACAGACACATACGAATATCTTTTCATTGACTGAGCAACGAAAAAGCTATTGCACGCACAGCACGGATCTCTTGCAATTTTAGGCTGGCGTTACATTTGTCGTACGACAAATTTTTCAAGTGTTAATTGCAGGCTACTGAATAGAAAATTCCCAGACACGCGAGAAATTTACTAGCCCGCAGCCAATCAATACACTTAAAAAAAACTTGTCGTACGACAGATGTAATACCAACCTTAGGGTCAGAGCACAAAGCAACATAACAGCTTACGACAAAGACGTAAGCGTAAATGTAGATTAACGCACACTGTTCGAGAATGGTCAGACTGCATGTAAATGGTGTCCGTATGAACCTCACAGACGTACATATGAACACCATTTTTGCCGGGCCTGCACGCCAGATGCGTACTTGTACTTAAGCTTAAGCTTTTGCATTGCGCAAGTTCTTCGTCGAAACATTACCGCGACGTAATGAGCCCTAAAGTATCATTAATGAAACACCAATGACTTTCGAGACGTTTTATTTGTCGATGAATTACAATATTCCTTTTGATCTTTCATTAAATGACGAGCACTTTTCGATAGATACACCGACCAAAAGATCGTACATTTTTATTTCAAGTCGACGCACAGTTAGACTACTCATTTCACTTGTACGAGAATTCTTCTCGGTCTCCGATTAGCTATCGAGGAAAAGAAATTCTTGCAACTCCACGAAGGCGGAGCCAAGTGGTACGTTCGAAAAATCGATTGTGCGAAGTATGAAGATACAAGTTGGTTCGAAATGTATTTCATGGAATATCACGAGCACACTGCACTGTAAGACTGGCTTCGCAACGCGCGTACCTATTGCTCACTGGTTTGAAGAATATACGTTGTCCGTCAATTATCATATCCATATTCGACTATCAGCTCTATTGTCCCTTTCTTCTTCTTCTTGCAAAACAAATCGACATTCGACCGACCAAAGATCCCAGCTAGACAACCCGAACGCGGGACAGTATCGTACTGTGCGCTATTTCAAGCCGCACGCGTGTTTTATACACCGGATAGTGGGATACGGCGCGAGAGTGGGGACGCCAATCGCGATGCGGGCCCTTAAGGGCCCGCCGACGGTGGGGAGGCCGGGAACGCGGTAATTTCTTTAGGGGGCGACCGACCGCTGTGGGGGGCCGCGCCCGCGGTGTATGCACCGTTGAATTTCCGTGCGCAAGTGCACATATGCGCACGTCATCCACACACGTGGGTTCGAGCCTCGTCCGATCGCTCGCCCTCATTCCCCGGTGGCTCTCGCTCGCACCTCCTTTTTTTCCCCGTGCAAAAGGGCGCCGGCTCCATAGAACTTATACACATAGAAGGAGAAGAAGGCCCACACAAATGTGTCCAAGAAGTGAAACAAAACTATTTTCTGTCTCGTTTCTATCATTCTGTCATTCTGTCTCGTTTCATGACTTCTCCTCGAAATGCGCATGCGTGGCCAAAGCGAGATTGTTTTTGTAGGCTGTTTACGTATGTTATGCATTTTTATTTGTGTACGATTTAACGCATGCGCATAACGAACCAAAGTCATATGTCATCTATCCTTCTCATACAGATGTTAGACAATTTCAGCTTACGGAAAGTATATGCTATTCCCCTTCCATGTGTATAAGTTCTATGGCCGGCTCTCGACATCGAGCTTTACTAAACGGTTTTAATCCAAGATTTCGTCATCGTTTGTATTATTTTATCATTAACTTTTTTTACAAGATTGGCCATTTTTACGTCAATTCTGGCACAATTTGCCTCCGTCCAACTTTAAGGTGTAGAAAATATATCAGGCTCTCGTTATAAGAACATTGTTATATTTTTGCGATCTCAACAATGTATACTTGGCCATGCATGCGAGGGCTGTTTGACAAGTCAGTGACTTTAACAAGAGATGCCACTCAAATTTCAATATAATTTTATTTCTGATATTTGCCATCTTATTTAAGTGTACACACAAAGTTTCAAGTAGATTTCACACTGACTTGTCAAATAGCCCTCGTACATGCACCTGAACGAAAAGTTACCGAAAATCTTCCGTCGGTCCAATAATATGGAAAATATGTTAATAACTGTTCGATAAATAAAATAGACAAGAACGAGAATAATTATTTTCCGTAACTTTTATGAACGTTGAATGTGATCCCATTTGCCGAAAACACGCAGACAGTACATCCAAAGATACATCAAAAAGGGCATAAATTGTACTGACACAAAGAACGGATTTCAAAAAGTAATATAAAATTTCTGGAAATCCGCATCGGGTGCAGAGTATTTTTCCAAATACAGTTTCTATTCAACGGGAAAGAAAAGCATCCCCGTGTCATGACCCCGTGTATGATGACTTCGTGAAAAACATTTTGGAAGACTGAGGAAGAGGAGGAGAGAAACTTTCTACCTACATTTTTTACCTTCCCAATTGTCACCCAAAAGTTGTACGGTTCTAAAAGGGCTATATAATGGTGAAATAAATTTTCAAAAATAAATTTTTTGTGGTTGTATAGAGGTCGCCGCCATTTTTTTTTTAATGAAACCCCCTATTTCCGATTACATATTCTTGTTAGCTGACTTCAAGACCTTTTCAAAACACTACAGACAAACTCTTTTTGGTTAGGTTGACAAAATTCATGTACTGCTGGGCATTAGCAGATTTACATTTCTGCTAATCTGACCGAGCAACCTCCACATGGTACACCTTGGATAATGCTAGCGATTGTCTGTGATCTGTGATGAATTGTTATTTACGATATCATCTCGTTATCGTCCGGTCTACTAGAAACCAAATTAGGTATGCAATTTCTGACTCTTACGTCTTAAAGTCTCAAAAGGGAGCCGTGACAGCTCGTGATAGTGCCGGACGTGTTGGATGATCGAAGGGTCGGATTAGCGGAGATTATGCTGTATACCTTTCCCCGACAATGGAATAGTAGTTTTACTTATTGTTAGAACTCGGTCGTACACTATTTACACAGTCTGAACAGAAAATTACTGAAGATTGGTCCGACAGAGAATATATTAATTTCTATAACGTCACGAGTATATTGCTACAATTTTGTACATTTCAACATATTTATATTAATATCTGTAGAAAGACAAGAATCACTCCATTATCTACAGAGCTAGAAAGGATCTCGAAGCTTCAAATCCCTTCTTCTTCGCTCTTTAACAGTAATGACGCCATCTGGGCCCGGAAGTTGGATTTCTCACACACGTGGCTAAAGCTGTAATAGAAAGCGCTAAATCCGTGTAATAATACGAGTATTCTCGGGAGGTGCAATAAATATAAATCGATAAGTGCGCGACCGTGCGTGTGTATGTATGTGTATGAGTGAACTTCGAAAGATACGCGAAAGACGCAAACGCCAATCGTGCCCCGTTAACAATCTCTCTCTCGTTCCCCGGACTCGGTGAATCCAACGTACTTATTGACTTATATCCTTGGAACTTCAGCTGTCGCTTGACTTTATCGCACCCCTACGTCAATTCCTTTGAGGTACCACGAGGGGTGGTTTCTTCGCACGTACGATTGTTCCAACCGCGAGAGAAAGAGCGAGAGGGAGGTGTACTCCTACTCCTACGGTGACATAAGGAAGGAGTCAAGGTGCCGCCCTTGCCATACCGCAGCCCTCCGGATGGACATACGCGACCGGTACCGTCAAGATTCGCCAAAAAGCAATGAACGTACGTACGGCAGTGCGTGCCGACGGCGTCGACCACATGGGGGTAGCTCAGCTGCTATCCGCCGTGAAACCAGCGAATCGGGGGTCGCAGACCCCCTTGCGGACAGCTGCCAGATCGCATACCCTCCCAGTCGTTACCCCGTCGCGAGTAACCTACCCCTCGCGCAATTTATTGCA